TTGGAAGAGTGTTCTACAAGTGAGAAGTGAGCGAGAACAATAGAAGAGTAATCAGAAGACAGTAGAAAACGATTGACATTGCATTTAAATTTTAAAAGATCAAAGTTGGCTGTAAAGCATGGAGTTGGAAGAGTGTTCCACAAGTGAGAAGTGAGCGAGAACAATAGAAGAGTAATCAGGAAGACAGTAGAAAACGATTGACATTGCATTTAAATTTTTAAAGATCAAAGTTGGCTGTAAAGCATGGAGTTGGAAGAGTGTTCCACAAGTGAGAAGTGAGTTGAGAACAATAGAAGAGTAATCAGGAAGACAGTAGATAACGATTGACATTGCATTTAAATTTTTTAAAGATCAAAGTTGGCTGTAAAGCATGGAATTGGAAGAGTGTTCACAAGTGAGAAGTGAGCGAGAACAATAGAAGAGTAATCAGGAAGACAGTAGAAAACGATTGACATTGCATTTAAATTTTAAAGATCAAAGTTGGCTGTAAAGCATGGAGTTGGAAGAGTGTTCCACAAGTGAGAAGTGAGCGAGAACAATAGAAGAGTAATCAGGAAGACAGTAGAAAACGATTGACATTGCATTTAAATTTTAAAGATCAAAGTTGGCTGTAAAGCATGGAGTTGGAAGAGTGTTCTACAAGTGAGAAGTGAGCGAGAACAATAGAAGAGTAATCAGGAAGACAGCAGAAAACGATTGACATTGCATTTAAATTTTTAAAGATCAAAGTTGGCTGTAAAGCATGGAGTTGGAAGAGTGTTCCACAAGTGAGAAGTGAGCGAGAACAATAGAAGAGTAATCAGGAAGACAGTAGATAACGATTGACATTGCATTTAAATTTTTGAAGATCAAAGTTGGCTGTAAAGCATGGAATTGGAAGAGTGTTCCACAAGTGAGAAGTGAGCGAGAACAATAGAAGAGTAATCAGGAAGACAGCATAAAAAGGATTGACATTGCATTTAAATTTTTAAAGATCAAAGTTGGCTGTAAAGCATGGAGTTGGAAGAGTGTTCCACAAGGAGAAGTGAGACGAGAACAATGAAGAAGAGTAATCAGTGAGAAGACAGTAGATAACGATTGACATTGCATTTAAATTTTTAAAGATCAAAGTTGGCTGTAAAGCATGGAGTTGGAAGAGTGTTCCACAAGTGAGAAGTGAGCGAGAACAATAGAAGAGTAATCAGGAAGACAGTAGAAAACGATTGACATTGCATTTAAATTTTTAAAGATCAAAGTTGGCTGTAAAGCATGGAGTTGGAAGAGTGTTCCACAAGTGAGAAGTGAGCGAGAACAATAGAAGAGTAATCAGGAAGACAGCAGAAAACGATTGACATTGCATTTAAATTTTTAAAGATCAAAGTTGGCTGTAAAGCATGGAGTTGGAAGAGTGTTCTACGAGTGAGAAGTGAGCGAGAACAATAGAAGAGTAATCAGGAAGACAGTAGAAAACGATTGACATTGCATTTAAATTTTTAAAGATCAAAGTTGGCTGTAAAGCATGGAGTTGGAAGAGTGTTCCACAAGTGAGAAGTGAGCGAGAACAATAGAAGAGTAATCAGGAAGACAGTAGAAAACGATTGACATTGCATTTAAATTTTTAAAGATCAAAGTTGGCTGTAAAGCATGGAGTTGGAAGAGTGTTCTACGAGGGAGAAGTGAGCGAGAACAATAGAAGAGTAATCAGGAAGACAGCAGAAAACGATTGACATTGCATTTAAATTTTTAAAGATCAAAGTTGGCTGTAAAGCATGGAGTTGGAAGAGTGTTCCGCAAGTGAGAAGTGAGCGAGAACAATAGAAGAGTAATCAGGAAGACAGTAGAAAACGATTGACATTGCATTTAAATTTTTAAAGATCAAAGTTGGCTGTAAAGCATGGAGTTGGAAGAGTGTTCCACAAGTGAGAAGTGAGCGAGAACAATAGAAGAGTAATCAGGAAGACAGTAGATAACGATTGACATTGCCTTTAAATTTTTAAAGATCAAAGTTGGCTGTAAAGCATGGAGTTGGAAGAGTGTTCCACAAGTGAGAAGTGAGCGAGAACAATAGAAGAGTAATCAGGAAGACAGTAGATAACGATTGACATTGCATTTAAATTTTTGAAGATCAAAGTTGGCTGTAAAGCATGGAATTGGAAGAGTGTTCCACAAGTGAGAAGTGAGTGAGAACAATAGAAGAGTAATCAGGAAGACAGCAGAAAACGATTGACATTGCATTTAAATTTTAAAGATCAAAGTTGGCTGTAAAAGCATGGAGTGGGAAGAGTGTTCCACAAGTGAGAAGTGAGCGAGAACAATAGAAGAGTAATCAGGAAGACAGTAGAAAACGATTGACATTGCATTTAAATTTTTAAAGATCAAAGTTGGCTGTAAAGCATGGAGTTGGAAGAGTGTTCTACGAGTGAGAAGTGAGCGAGAACAATAGAAGAGTAATCAGGAAGACAGCATAAAAAGGATTGACATTGCATTTAAATTTTTAAAGATCAAAGTTGGCTGTAAAGCATGGAGTTGGAAGAGTGTTCCACAAGTGAGAAGTGAGCGAGAACAATAGAAGAGTAATCAGGAAGACAGTAGATAACGATTGACATTGCATTTAAATTTTTAAAGATCAAAGTTGGCTGTAAAGCATGGAGTTGGAAGAGTGTTCTACGAGTGAGAAGTGAGCGAGAACAATAGAAGAGTAATCAGGAAGACAGTAGAAAACGATTGACATTGCATTTAAATTTTTAAAGATCAAAGTTGGCTGTAAAGCATGGAGTTGGAAGAGTGTTCCACAAGTGAGAAGTGAGCGAGAACAATAGAAGAGTAATCAGGAAGACAGTAGAAAACGATTGACATTGCATTTAAATTTTTTAAAGATCAAAGTTGGCTGTAAAGCATGGAGTTGGAAGAGTGTTCTACGAGTGAGAAGTGAGCGAGAACAATAGAAGAGTAATCAGGAAGACAGTAGTAAAAACGATTGACATTGCATTTAAATTTTTTTAAAGATCAAAGTTGGCTGTAAAGCATGGAGTTGGAAGAGTGTTCCACAAGTGAGAAGTGAGCGAGAACAATAGAAGAGTAATCAGGAAGACAGTAGAAAAGGATTGACATTGCATTTAAATTTTTAAAGATCAAAGTTGGCTGTAAAGCATGGAGTTGGAAGAGTGTTCCACAAGTGAGAAGTGAGCGAGAACAATAGAAGAGTAATCAGGAAGACAGTAGAAAACGATTGACATTGCATTTAAATTTTAAAGATCAAAGTTGGCTGTAAAGCATGGAGTTGGAAGAGTGTTCCACAAGTGAGAAGTGAGCGAGAACAATAGAAGAGTAATCAGGAAGACAGTAGAAAACGATTGACATTGCATTTAAATTTTTAAAGATCAAAGTTGGCTGTAAAGCATGGAGTTGGAAGAGTGTTCTACGAGTGAGAAGTGAGCGAGAACAATAGAAGAGTAATCAGGAAGACAGTAGAAAACGATTGACATTGCATTTAAATTTTAAAGATCAAAAAGTTGGCTGCATGGAGTTGGAAGAGTGTTCACGGAGTTGGAACAAGAGAAGTGAGCGAGAACAATAGAAAGTAATCAGGAAGACAGTAGAAAACGATTGACATTGCATTTAAATTTTTTTAAAGATCAAAGTTGGCTGTAAAGCATGGAGTTGGAAGAGTGTTCTACGAGTGAGAAGTGAGCGAGAACAATAGAAGAGTAATCAGGAAGACAGTAGAAAACGATTGACATTGCATTTAAATTTTTTAAAGATCAAAGTTGGCTGTAAAAGCATGGAGTTGGAAGAGTGTTCCACAAGTGAGAAGTGAGCGAGAACAATAGAAGAGTAATCAGGAAGACAGTAGAAAACGATTGACATTGCATTTAAATTTTTAAAGATCAAAGTTGGCTGTAAAGCATGGAGTTGGAAGAGTGTTCTACGAGTGAGAAGTGAGCGAGAACAATAGAAGAGTAATCAGGAAGACAGCAGAAAACGATTGACATTGCATTTAAATTTTTTAAAGATCAAAGTTGGCTGTAAAGCATGGAGTTGGAAGAGTGTTCCACAAGTGAGAAGTGAGCGAGAACAATAGAAGAGTAATCAGGAAGACAGTAGAAAACGATTGACATTGCATTTAAATTTTTGAAGAATCATAGTTGGCTGTAAAGCATGGAGTTGGAAGAGTGTTCCACAAGTGAAAAGTGAGTGAGAACAATAGAAGAGTAATCAGGAAGACAATAGATAACGATTGACATTGCATTTAAATATTTGAAGATCAAAGTTGACTGTAAAGCATGGAATTGGAAGAATGTTCAACAAATGAGTATCCGAGGGAAGAAACTGTTAACATAGAACTTACGGTTGCATCTTGCCAATTCAACTTTAAAATTATATAACCTTGCTCTCAATCTAATACTGCGTTTGAATTCATAAAGTCTACGTTGCAAAGAGGAAAGTTCCTCAAAACAATTTACATAAAGTATTTATTTAAAAGACACAGGTTAGCGACTTTATGGCGGTGGGGAAGTGTCTCTAGTCACGATGCCAGGTCAGGATCAATAACACTGCAGATTCTTGTCTGTAGTTTATCAAGAATCGCTAAATGTATTGCCGGAGCACCAAACCAGATGTGGAAGTAATATTCAAAGCAAGAACGAATGGTAGACTTATAAATATGTATGATAGTGTTTGGCAAGAAAAATTTTCTATTTGAATAAAGAATTGACAAGAAAGGAAAAAGAAAATGAAAAAGAAAGGAAAGAAAAGAAATTGAGAAAAGTTGAACGAAAAAGAGAAAAGTAAAAGAAATGTGGACATTCGAATAAAGAATTCACACGAAAGAAAAAAGAAAAGGAAAAAGAAGGAAAAGTTTGCGTTAATCTAAAAAAAAGAGAAAGAACAACGAAAAAAGAAAGAGTAAAAGTAATTCAAGAGAAAAAAAGAAAAAAGAAAAGAAAAAATCGAGAGAGAAAGAAAAGAAAGAAAAATGAAAAGAGGGAAAAGCCTTTAATGTTGGATTTATAAAATGATACGAATGAAAAGAATAACAAAGAAAGCAACAATGAAAAAAAGGAAGAAAATCAAGAAAAGAGAAGAAACGAATCGTTTTTCAGATTTTCCCGCCACTTCCTGTTTATCCATCTCGCGGTTCGCTCAAGTGACGAGGAATAATAGGGTATTTAAAATGGCGGTAGCTGAAGATGCCACTGGGTGAAAATGAATTACGAAATCCTACGTTACGAACTGTGGCTGTCATGAAAGTGATCTTTGCCGGCCTACATCCCTGGGGAATTAGAGATAATGACCGTCTGATAATCCAAGGCTTTCTGACAGAAAGACTGACGAGTTGACAGACAGACAGACAGTCATGAATACATAGCTAAAAGATAGAAGATTTAGTAAATCATCCTAGTTGCATAAAAACTGGCTGGTGTTCCCCACAGTATCGCAGATTCTATTCATACTCGACGGATACACGAATCATCTCCACGAAATGAACTACGTTCTTTCATTTCATATCAAGGAAAATGTGAACAAGTCTTTAGAATAGGTCAGTTTCAATCTTCGAAATGTTTTTTGAATTCATTCTTTGTATCCTTTTTTCAAGTGTATAATCCAGATGAAAAACATATATTACATCTAGCCTCTTTACGAATCCCATGACAGATTTCAATACGTCCAGATGAAAAACATGTATATCACATCTAGCCCCTTTACGAATCCAATAAGAAATTTAAATAGGTCCAGATGTAAAACATATATGTCACATCTAGCCTCTTTACGAATCTAGTGACAGATTTAAATGCGTCCAGATGAAAAACATATATGTCACATCTAGACCCATTACGAATCCAATGACAGATTTAAATACCTCCAGATGAAAAACATATAAGTCACATCAGCCCCTTTTACGAATCCAATGAGAAATTTAAATAGGTCCATGTGAAAAAAATATATGTCACATCTAGCTCCTTTCCGAATCCAATGACAGATTTTCGACAAAATCAAAAGAAGTGTCCGGTCTCTCGGTCATATCACGTTTAAACACCAGTTCACGTACGATTACCGAAGCTAAGCAACGTAGGGCTTGGCCAGTACGTAAATGGGTTACCCGTAAGCAAATGAGCATACAACAGGAATAAAAAAAAATAATAATAATATCCGCCCAATCAACAATCAAAGCCAAGCGCCCAGATATTGTTATTAGAGACCGCAAACAAAAAGTGCTTCCTTATTGATATGGCAGTCCCTGCAGACTGTAATGTATCTTTGAAGATATTCAAAAAGCTATTAAAATACAAGGACCTTGAAATCGAGATCTCAAAAATGTGGCACATGGAAACATCAACAATCCCCATTGTAGTTGGAGTCCTCGTATTGGTTGGAAAAGATTCCAGTAGACTAATTGAAGGGATCCCTGGAAGTCCATGCCTTAAAGAAATACAAAAATTGTTCTCACGAGTACAGCCCACACCTTACGGAGGGTTTTATCTATGTAAAATATGTTTGTGTTTGTGTATGTGTTTTTTTAATTGGTCAGTGGAAAATGTCATGATGCCATTTCTAACCTTAGGTCTCTGAGCGGGACCCGGGAAGAAATGTGTACCCACCAGAAATCAAAGGAAATAATAATAATAATAATATATCCAGAAAAGATTAATCATCTTGTATCAGGTTGCACAATATTGGCACCCACTGAATATAAAACACGCTATGACAGTGTGGGCCAATATCTGCACTGGAAAATCTGCAACTTCTACGCGAAGGAAACTAAAAGAAACTGGTATGAACACCACCCAGACCCGGTTACGGAAATAGGACCTGTTACAATTCTATGGGACTACGCGATGCACACTGACAGAACAATCAAAGCCAACCGCCCAGATAATTTTATTAAAGATCACAAACAAAAAAAGTGACTCCTTATTGATATGGCAGTCCCTGCTGACTGCAATGTATCTTTGAAGATATTCAAAAAGCTTTCAAAATGCAAGGACCTTGAAATCGAGATCTCAAAAATGTGGCACATGGGAACATCAACAATCCCCATTGTAGTTGGAGTAGTCGTATTGGTTGGAAAAGATTCCAGTAGACTAATTGAAGGGATCCCTGGAAGTCCATGCCTTAAAGAAATACAAAAAATTGTTCTGACAAGTACAGCCCACATTTCACGAAGGGCTTTGTCTATGTATTTTTTTTTTTATTGTCAGTGAAAAATGTCATGATGCCATTTCTAACCTTAGGTCCCTGGGCGGGACCCGGAAAGTAATGTGTAAACGCCAGGAATCAAAGGAAATAATAATAATATTATTAATAATAATAATAATAATAAACAAGCTGATGTAGACAAACCCCGTACCCATCAGTGTTTACGTAGTGCAGGGTTAAAAGTTGAAACCGAAAGCTTTATTCTTACTGCAAAGGACCAGTGCTTGCTAACTTGGTATTATCAAGCACATATACTGAAAAATTGTGTTGACCCGAAATGCCGACTGTGGTCGCCAATGCTAAATCCCGGTAGGGTTTCCAATAGCTATAATTACATAATAACTTCTTCATCTTTGAGGAAATCGTCCAACATTTGCTGCCGTAAAGAACGGCACGTGTCACGTAACAGCTCAGTATTCTTTTCTTCCTGTCTCGTAATACTCAACCCAGCTTTTGGAATGCGTCCATGGCCATCCCAATACGTCTACGGATCTCAGTGTCACATTTACCGTCCTCTGTCAAAACTCTTCCCAGATATTTAAGCTTCCGTGTCTGCTTGATTCTAGTGTTCCCGACATGCAAATCGCATTTCGGTTTCATCCTTTTTACTGAGGCCATGCATTCTGTCTTCTTGTAGTTTATGCTTAGTCCTTTCTTCTCACTCTCCTTCGCTACTTTCTGTAGGAGGTTTTGTCATTTCTTTTCCGTGTCTGCTATCAGTACTGTGTCATCTGCCTATCTTATGTTGTTAAGATTGTGGTCGCCAATGCTGAATCCCGGTAAGGTTTCCAATAACTATAAAACTTTAATAATCAATTTAAATTAGTGGTTTCCTCTGTCAGGAAATACTGTATCCGTATGAGGGAAGGCGGTTAGCTTTTACATATATGTGTGCATAAATGGATATTGAGATATAATAGATGGCGTTAATCGTCGCCTAAAATTAAGTCCCAAACTGCTCCCGCGCCGACTAAATTTATTTCAGACATCGAACTGTAAATCAAAATCGAATTGGGTTATCAGTATTCTGTCATCTGTGTATCTTATGTTCCTAAGATTATGGCCGTCAATGCTAAATCCAGGTAAGGTTTCCAATTCTCTCAGAACTACATCGCTGTATAGGTTGAACAGATCAGGTGAGTAAAAGTTTGGAATTTTGTCAATTCTTAGTGATTCACATTTTTGAGATTTTGGTTAACACGTGTTTTCTTTCCGTTCTTGGACATTTCCTGTTTTTTTTTTTTTTCTCATAATTTTTTTTAACCCTTTAGAATCCTTACTTTGACATTTGTCCTCTCCACATATCTTATTCCTGAATATGTTTATTTCTCTGTCCAATTGTGTTTTTCTCTCTTGTAACCTCTTTGGTTTCAAATTTCTGGGTAAAAATTTGTTTGCGTCAGTTTCAAATATCTTCTTTTGTCTATAGAATTATTCTCGTTTCTCGAGCCTACGGAGACGTTGCGCTTTAGTTTGAATTGTTTGTTTCAGTTCTTCTTTCAATTGGCTTATTTGTTCTTTATCTTGCAACAGATATTTTCTCTTAACTTTATCAGATCTTTGTTCATTATTCTTTCTCCAAAATAGACATTTCTACTCTCATTGTCGTTTATATTTTTCTCCGTGTTTAGATTCCATCTTGGATTATTATTGAGGCATCTGCGTTTCTTCTTTATCTGGATTTTCGCTGAAAAAGGTTTGCAGCTACAAAATCTATTAAACAATAGACATGAGTTAACGGTTTTTTCCGACATCATCAAATTTTTGCATTGAATAATTAGCATAAAAACAAACAAACAATAAAATAATTTTTAAATTCCATAGTCCTAATAGTTTAAATGCCTTACAAAAAAAGATAACCCTTTATGAAGTCGTCAAAAAACAAATGTTAGCGACTTACGACAGTTTTTATATACACAAAATCCTTTCAGAATAAAATAAAAAATAAAATAAAAAGTAAATAAATCTCCATAGACACTTAACCAGACTAGACGATGTCATCTTCCGCTTTAAATTTAGACACCCCAACCTTACCCTGACTTGACATCTGTGAATGTAACTGATATATTGATACAAATTATTAACATCTTACGCCCCTTTTCTTTAAACAATTGCTCTAGCCGTTACCATAGAAATTTTGATTTCAATAATGAATATGCTTATAAAACGCGTAAATTTCAGAAATAAGTTATTCAAAAAAAATTTCGCTTGAAGATGGAACAGAGCTTAGTACTTTAATTCAATTTAATTCAAATAATTATATTGAAGTTTTCGGCTCTTGTTTTGAAACATGAGAACTCTTATGTAGCGTGTTGGAATCATATTTTTAAATAAATAATTATATATATATATATATATATATATGCTTGTGTGTGTGTGTTTGTGTGTAAGTCATCCACAGTCAGACTGTTTCACTGTTTCACAGCTCATCAATGTGGCTAGATATCCGATTGCCAACAGATTTGGCATTAGTCGGAGATTTTTCTCCTGAGCTATAGCAGAGTGGAAGGTGAATTATTACGTATTTTAGAATGCGCATGTCAGTAACTTAGAGTGCTCAATTAATAGAAGAGGTTTACATTAGCAGTAGCAGTCACTGTTTATAAATTCGCGCTTTTCCCTCTAAAAGTGCTTGACCGAATTTTATTTTTTCGGGGCGTATATATATATATATATATATATATATATATATATATATATATATATAGGATTGTGTATAAGGAATAAATTCCAATAACCATCAAATACTATTCTTAAAAGAGTGCTCAATACAGAGTAGAGAAAATAATAACATAAATATGTTATAAAATCACTACAAAAATAGCCATTTTGTTTCAACACATCTGGTGTCTTATCAAGTGATGATGTTGAATATAGAATAAAGGGTTTTAAAAGATTCAAATCAATTAACCACCCCTCGCAAGGGGAAACGC